GATATTCAAGAAAAGACACACCAAACACTGTTCAAAATGATAGGAATACAAAAAAATCAACTTCGAGGATAAAATCTATTAGTGGACCATGATTGGTGCACACCCGGATCCAACACCTGGGTGTGCGCCCCTCCACATAAAAAAAAAAAAAATGAGAACACCCGGTTGGGTTTTTTTTTCCTTATGTGGAGGTGTGCACACCCAGATCCAACACCCGGGTGTGCACACATCATTTGCCAATCTATTAACCATATTTCAAAAGCAACAGCATATACCTCCCATTCTTCTTGACTTTGAATTCCTTGATATGCCATCAGGAAGGGCTTTGCCTTTTTAACAAACTTATCAACTAGACCCCCAACCCCAGCGAAACTCAAAATATGAGGTTAAAAAAAAAAATTGATAATACAATACCTACAAAACTATATTATAATTTAAACTCAATGTAAGCCAAGCCAAGTCAAGCCAAATGGTCAGGTATGTGTCATCTAATTAAGATCTCTTGACCCACCTCTTTTTGAGTGAATATGGGTTTCTTTTATTACTTTTCATTAAAAAATTTTACTTTATTTTTTCTTCCCGTCAGCAAAAATTTTTGCATTACACATGAATGAGAAAAAAAATACTTTAAATAACCAAATATGCAAATTTTATTCTATCCAGCAATCCTCCATCAAACGCACTGCTAATGACTTCAATAACTTTCTAGAAACACCTCGATATACCAAGTAAAAGATAATAGAATTTTCAGCCAAAAGGCTGACTCATGCAGAACTGAAAACAGATTTTCATTCTAAGAACATGCCAAAGGAAAATCCAACTATCAAATGGCAAACAACTACAGAGCCCAACCATTCTCAATAACAAGTTAATGATTCACTTCACCAACTTCAACCATTCTCAATAGCATTGAAAGAAATGCTAAAAGCAAAAGGACAAACACAAAGATGGAAAACAATTAGTCATGGCTCATGACGGGTAGAGATCAGAAAAGGCATGAGCTTGTGTTGCTTTTTGGATAATTTGAAATGTAACTTGCTTATAGATTCAAAAAAGAACTCACCCCATCATCACCAATTGCCCTCCTGGAAATTTTAACTTTTTCACACTTGGAAGAATAAGGCACTGGAATAAGAGAGAAGCTTGAAGGCTTCTGTTAAAGATTATTCTGAACCTAGCAGGAAGAGCCAAAGGCAGTGTTGTTTGCAAGGTGCAAGAGTCTGAGGTAAAGAGGAGCCAAATGGGTGAATTTATAGGGAGGGAGGACGGTGTGTGTTTGTGTGCTTGGCGGAGATGTTGATAAGGGATGCATGAGAGAAATGAGCTGTATGGAGTGCACTTGGCTTTCTTTCTTCTTCCTTAGATGGAAACTTCTCTCCCTTTTTTTTTGCCTATCTTCTTTTGTTCATTGTAGGCAAAAGAAGGCTCCATAGTTCATTTCAATTTGATTAAATTTCAGTGAAGTATGAGTTGATTTAAGGAACACCCTGTTTTAGTTAGAAATCATATTGTTTATTTACAAGAAAAATGCTTAAAATGGGAGGGGGATCATTGAAACTTAGGATTTGGAATAGGATCGTGGAAAGAGAAGGTTAGTTTTTTGATATCCATTTAGGGTTGTAGTTTTTCATTAAGAAAGATTCATTAGTAGATTTTCATTTACAGGAATTTGTTAACCGTTAAGTAGTTTTCCATTATGAAAAGTTTAGCCAACTAGTTAATCTTTAGAGTGAGTTTGTTTGTAGTTTTTCGTTAAGAAAAGTTCGTTAAGTACATTTCTTTAGAAGAGTCCCTTAAGTAGTTCCTCAAATAGTTCATTCTCAAGAAGAGTTTGTTGAATAGTTCCTTGGCTAGAGAAAATTGATTTAATAACCATGACAGGTTATACAATAGGGATGGTACTTCCCTTCTCAAATCCTCTCCACCCACCCAAAGATTCAAATTTGAAACCTCCAATGTGGTTCCTAAGAGACATACTACCTAAGAGACATACTACCTATCATAATCTATAAGTACATTGCATATCGCCCACCACCATGTTTAAGCCAGAGCTAACTAGGTTACCTTTTATGCAATATTCTCTGTAGCCAACAGGGAATTTCTCCCATATCAGTAGAGTTTCCAAATATGAGAGCAAAATAAGGCATAGCATTGAGTTTGCTAGGTATTGGAGATTATTTTCCATTCCAAGTTAAACTTTTATGGCTAGTCAATAAAACAAATCCAAACAGTTAATTTCTTGTCATTACAAAAGTCAGGTAATTAGAGATTTTCTTGCCAAATAAAGTGTGTCTTGCCATAAAAAGAGAAAACTTACTAGATTTTAATTACCATTTATGAAATTTCAATGATTTGGTTTTCTATCACCATTCTTATCTCATTCATTTGAATTCATCGCCAAGAAAATTCTCCCAAGTATAAGCAGTCTATTACTACATACATAATCTATCTTCTTCACAACCTCCCTTTTTTTCTTTTTTCTTCTTTTTTTTTTTTTCACATGAGATTTCAATCTAATAAATATACATGAAAAATTATTTGAGGGCCGAAAGTTGGAGGCCAAATTGTAGGAAATTTATCATGTGGGGCCCACCAAATGATCAATGGCCAAAAAATTTTAAGCGCCCAACTTTCAGCCCCCAAATCAGTTCTCAATAATCAATATACAATAAAATGAGAGGTAAAATTCTCTTTTTTCTTAATCCACCCAATCCAAATTTCAGTGTCTAATCTCTTATCCTATCAGTTACAATTCTTGAAACCAATAAATTTCCCTTTTTCATTCTCAGGTAAACCATCCTACTTTATCTCTTATCCTCCTGTTCTTTTTTTTTTTTTTTCTATTTTTTTGTGGACATCATCCCACTTTGTT